AGAGCAAATGCAGGGCAGCTGATAGGAACGGTAAACTCTTCATGTCATGCAATAATTTATATTTACATATACATTTATGTTCCTTGTCATGTCTCCACAAGCAACTGGTGTCTGTCAGCCAGTTTGGTAAGAAAAATAATAAATCTTTCCAAAAGTTGCTAACACAGCACTTTCTTGTCACTGTATATCTAAAGTCCTGACATCACTCCCTATCCAAATTTTTGTGCACAATTAATATTTACAATTCTCTCAATCCAGGGCATTCCCTTTTTCTGAGTAATGCTGTGTCACACAAGAAACAGCTTTGGATAATATTTGAATATATCCAAAAGAACTGACAAAGCTGGTTTTAAGCCTTTAGTTTATGGAAAATGAATACCTTCTGGTGAGAAGTAGATCTAGCATACAATCAGAATTAGATTCTTTAAACAACAAGCAGTGGTAAGGAGCTCACACAGGAACTCATTAAATTTGCAGATGACACCATATGGATGGAATTGCCAACCCTTTGGAAGATAGACTCAAGATTCTGAAGGATCTTGACAGACTTGAACATTAGACTCCAACCAATAAGATGCACTTCAGTGTTGAGAGAAGTAAGATCCTATACTTACACAGGAAAAATCAAATGCATAGGTATAGAATAGGACCGTGATGGTGAACTTATGGCACGTGTGCTGGAAGTGGCACGTAAAACCATCTTCGTCGGCACACAAGCTGTTGCCTCAGAGCAGGTCCACTATATATGCCGCCCGCCTGCCAGCTGATCATCGGGTAGCTGTCACACATGGGCAGGGGCAGGAGTGCGCGGGAGATACATGTGCATGCACAGAAAGGCACAGGGTGCATTGGGGGGGTCATAGTTGCATGCACAGAGATGTGCAGCATGGGGGGCATGCACGCATGTGCAGAGATGCGTGGTGTGCACATGGGGGTCATGCGCGCATGCACAGGGGGTGTGGGGCCCCCACATGCATTGCCTTATGGGTGTTGGTATGCGTCCACACACATACATGCATGCATGTGTCCACACTTTTGGCATGTGAGGATGGAAAGTTTAGCCATCACTGGAGTAGAAGGTACCTGGCTCAACAATACTAACCATGAGAGGGTTCTAGTGTCCTGTGGATCACTACTTAAGTATGAGTCAGCAGTATGCTGCGGTTACCAAAAAACAAATCACAGCTCTAGGCTGCATCAACAGAAGGATAACGTCAAGATCATGTGGAGTGGTGCTCTATACTGAACTAGTAAATTCACATTTGGAATAGTGCATCCATTTCTGATTACCATGATGTAAAAAATATGCCAAGGCCTTAGAAAGAATGCAGAGAAGAACAATAAAGATAATAAGTCTGGAGGCTAAATCATATAATGAACACCTAAAGCAATGATGTATGTTTAGCCTAATGAAAAGAAGGCTCAGGAAACATTATAGCAATTTTCCCATACTTGAGGGCTGACACAGGGAAGAGGACATCAATTTATTTTCCATAGCAACTGACGGTAAGATAAGAAGCAATGGGTGGAAGCTGGTTGAGGGTGGGGGCCCAAGATTCAACCTGGAAAGGAGAAATTTGCTGACAGTGAGAACAATTAATCAAGGGAACAGCTTTCCAGAGTTTTGAGTGCTCCATCACTGGTTGTTCCAAGAAAAGATTGGACAATGATTTGTCTGAGATAGTATAACAATTCCTGCACTGAGCAGGGAGTTGAACTAGAAGACTATCCTCCTTCCAGTCCTATGATTCTGTGATGATTCTATGGTAGAAGACAACCAGACAAAATTACAGAAATTGGTAGGCTAATAGTTCCCCCTTCCTAACTGGGATAGCTGAGGTAATACATTGTGTTAAGCCATGATTGGTTTAACCATACTTTAAAACAGATGGGCAATCTGAGGCCCAGAAATCCTAGGATTCAGACACCAAAGTATCTGCAAAAGTTACTGAACAATTAATCTGTGGTATTTAAATTAATCAAAGGGGAAAACATTACAAGCATAGAAAATAAGTTTATTTAATTTTATTGAATAACACTAATTCAAATAAAGCTTATTCCTAGACTCACCCCCTTCTTTATGACGGCCCCATCAATTTTTCTAGAGTGCAGCCTCTTGAATGCTACTCTTCGAAAAGTGCTGTGAAGCAGCATTATTGGATAAACATCAACTAGCTGGATTTGTAGAACATGCTCATCCATACACCATGGTTTGCAAGCCTTATGGTTGGATGCAGAAAACGTGCTAGTCGGCTTCCTGCACCATGGGGTTCCTGCTCCAGAGGTTTTCCTCAAGCCTCCGGGAGAGTGAAAATGGTTTCCCTGGGCTCCAGAGGGTCTCTGGAAGCCAGAAAGGGGCCCATTTCCAGCCTTCCTGAACTTCCAGGTGGCCTGTTTTTCACCCTCTCCAAGCCTCCGTGCAGGCCCTGCACTTACCTGCATCCAAAGCAGGCCATGTGGGGATTCCTGGGAGGAGCATGGCCAGCCAGGAATGGGATTTGGGGGTTCTCTGAACTGCACAGAATCTTAGCTAGGGGCTGTCCCGAACCCCTGTGAACCCCCAGCAGCCCACCCCTGGATGCAATGTGTAATCTGTCTTCTTCATGCCATTGTTTAAACTTTTCTTAACAGAATCAACAGTAGGAACATCCCTGATTTAGTGCAGGTGAAGTCCACGACCTTTAGAGAACAGATGATATGTTTTTGAAACATTTTGACATGGCTAAGAGTGAGAAAGTTCTATTTAAAAAAAATAAAACTCTAGCAAGTGGCAAAGTGGCAACCTCTGTAATCTGGGTGCAAACAGATTTAGGTGTCATTAACAGTCATAGAAAAATACTAATGGGAAATGACAGCAGCCCAGCATTTAGTTTGGGAGACAGCTCACTTAGATTAGATTGCCAGAAGCATCCTGGCTGGGACAGAAGAAAAGGTGGGGTAGAAAGGTTTTGCTGTTAATTAGTGCTTTACTACCATGTAGCCATTTTGTGACTATAGAAATCTCCCCACAACACCACAGAATTTCATGAAAAAGCTTAGGATTTATCTTTAACTTCAGAATATGGAAGTATGCTGCTGTAGACATTTAGTTAAACATTTGTCAGAATATTAGTGAAGGCTGAGCAAATTAATTCTGATAAATCAGAACTAGTTTGATTTATTCTATTATTAGGGTAATGGGTAATGATAGAAGAAAATTATGCAGAGATTTCTTGAAAAACATTCTTCTGATGAAAGACCCAGTATTTGTTTCTCATTTTCTCATTGACTTCACAAACATATATTTTTGAGTTACATTGGATTTTAATAAATATTGGATGCTGTTCATATTAAAATAAATTTTTAAACAAAATATTATATTCCCAAAGTGTTTTATTTATCTATTTATTTCAAAGCAGAAGTAAGAAACAGTCCAAATGAAAAATTAAGAGACTTTCAGTACTTTATTGACTTTAGATGTTCCAATGAAGCAAATACACATATAGTACAGGAAAAACAACAATAGAAGTATGGGATTCTTGCACATATATTTTACAGCAAAGTATAGATGTTAGAAAAAGGGATGCAAATATTACAACTAAAAATAATGCTAGCAAAAATTTTGCTTGTGTACACAAGTCTTCTTAAATGGACATTCAATAGATAATTTTATTGGCTTTTTATGAGGCTTAAAACAAAGCAAGCTCTGTTGAGAAAAATAGATGCTTTTTCTATGTTGGAACTATAACAAGTAGTATTTATTTACAATTAGTCAAATCCTATGCCATTACTGTTTCTTACATTTAGCTTTTATGTAGCAAGGGCAAAGGTTATGCTTGATCCGTCTCCATAAACTATTTTGCCTAATCACAAATTACATATACAGAAGATTTATGTTTTTAACTACATACAGAAGTGGGAAAAAGACTCAGTGTATGAACAAAACAAAGCTTTTGATATAATTGTTTACGTGTATCAAGCCCATTCCTTATACTCTTCAATTTTTTTTCACTATAAGTTACAGGATGAATTAAGCCATAATGGAAGGTTGTCCTAAATATTGCAGTATGGTGATGTAAGAAGTCTTATAATATGAATTTAACAATTGTAAAATTTGTTCTAGAAGTAGCAATGCTAATTTTATCATTTGACTAAAAGAATCAAATTCTGCTATTAATTTAAAGTGTTGTAAATCAATTTTAGATCCAAATATTATTCTTAACGCTGTTAGAGTTTGTAAATAATGTTATTTAGAAGCTTATTGGCCAATCTCATATGTGGATATCTAATTGTATGTTCATATGTAAGAAAATGCCTGCAGGCCTATTATTAGTTTATTGGCATGAAGTGCTGTCATTCCTTACTAAAACCAGCATTGCCACAAAACTGCTCCTCACTGTGCTTTGAGACCTTCAGCACCACCATTTCAATTTCTCAGGATGTGCTAAAACAACATTATGTATGATATTTGGGTAGTTCTTATTTCAAGTGCTGTTCTTGTAGTCATATTCACTCCATGATCTCTAAGGAACAGTTTTGTTCTGGGCATCTAAATTTGGTTGTTGTTTGTATCAATGTAACTAATTACTGTTGATTGATCTCATTAAAACTGAATACAGTCAACACAGATATCTGCTGTCAAAAGAATTTTATTGGTTATTTTAAACCAACATGTACATTTTCCCATCCTTCACCTTAGCAGTTCCAAGACACCATTATTTCTCCATTTTTATACCTATCTCAGGCTCCTTCCTCTCAGCTTGGTGGCCTTCTCCTCACCTGATCTTCCTTCTCAAACTTAATCACTGTGTGTTTTCTCCAATTCCCAATTTCATGTTTGTTCCAGCTTCTCTATTCAAAACACATTTCCTTAGATTTTTTTTTTTAAATGGACAATGTTCACTTTTCTAATAATTCCTCTGCTCATCCTGTATTGTTCAGGAGAACTCCTTTTTCCTCCAAAGAGGCTTTTCTAGAAGTGACTTAGCAAAAAGTGCCCTGAATATATTTAACTTATTTTCCTGAGTTGAAGTTCACTGAATTCCAATATCCTTTTCAGTTTTTTTAAAGTTGCTTTGATGAGGAAAATTGTTATATGCTGAACTGTGGAAAATCCCAAGAAATAAAAGAAAGCAGCATACAGGCAAACCACAGAATCTGCTATCTTAAAACCCAGTGTTTATGACTGTGAGTTCAATAGTTTTGAAAAGGAATTAAATCAGTTCATGGATATAACATATAAAAAGCTATGAACAACCGTTATAAAGGTTATGTTATTTTAAGTATCACAGTACTTTTATATATCAACTGTTGAAGAACATTTATGAAATGACAATCTTGGGTTCGTGGATAGGACTCTATTAATATTCTCACATTCATTTATGAATAAAGATTTTTAACAACAAGGCATAGAACAATAACATCATATCACTGGATTATGTAATTATCTCTTTATCTCTTATGGAATGTCTTCATGAGAACGAAAGACTGAAATATTATTTGGAAAACATCAGACATTCCTCATGTTTATTATTAAAAATTCCTCATGGATTATTAAAAATTAAAAGAAATGCAACCATTTTCCTTCCATATCCACTGTTCATTTGTCAAGATGAACTAATGGAAATATTGCAGCATAATAAAATCTTGTCCATTTTTCTAATAATCTGTTAAAACATAATTTCATTTGGCTTCCATTTAAGACACTAAAAGTATAAGATTACCTCTCTTATCTTCTTTCTGAGTTTATAATCTAAGCAGGTATATTCAGCTGGTAATTTTTTTTTTAAAGCAATGATACAATTTTATGAGACAGGTATCACCTGAGAGTCATACAGAAGTCTGTAGTTATGGATAAATGTAGTAAGGTATTATCTTGAGAATTCCAGATTTCCCCCCCCCCAAAAAAAAAAACTGTAGAAGGAACTCTGTTCATATATAGTACAAAAACAAAGATTAAGAACCTTTTCAGGAAAAACCTCTCTTATGTGAATTTGCTTCTTGACATCTAAATGATCTATAGGGGGAAAAGCCCAGCAATAATCAGGAAATATGAAAGCAAAGCAGAGAAATGAATCAATGCAGAAGGGAACCCATGAAAACAAAATTTGGACAGACTTCCTCTATGTGGTATTCTCTAATTTGGGGATTATATTTCTCGGAATTATGGAGGTTGTAATGACAATATAGTGGAGGGTTCCCTTATTGAGGCATTGAGGGAATGGAAATTCAGCAATAAAAAGGAATAATATATCACCAAATATATGTATAATGGCTATTGAAAATGAAATAAACATGTTAGATGTTACTAATTTTACAGAAATTAGTTGAAATGGTAGTGAATAAAAATGCAATCTGATGTTCACCAGTAAGAATATGCTGCCAGACCTATGGCTGTACAAAAATGACTGTAGGATGTCATTCTATAGGCATTTATATTGCAGTAAACCCCACTGAACTGTATGGAAAATATTCCCAAATAGCCCAAGGGATCCCATCATTCAAAGCAGCTTTATTGATCTTGGATGGTGACAATGGTCATCCAGCAATATTTAGAGATCCAAAATTAGGAGTGGTCTGTCTACCCAAATGATATCTAAAAATGTACACAAAGAAAAAATAATCATGCTTTGTTAAATAATTAAGCTGCAGTTAGGCACTATTTCCCTAGTATTTCCTAATATATTGACCTGATATTGGTTAGGGAAGTAGATTTCTCAGTTGTTATGTATGTCATTCAAAATGATAAATCCCAATTTTTGGTAAATTGGCTTATACATAACGTTAACAACCAGCATTCCAATTTAACAAAAGAGAAAAATATATTTAAAATATTCATTAAAACATTTTAAGGTACTTATATCAGACAATACAATTTTCATCCCAAATTTTACAACTTAGTTGAACTTTCAAAATACTCTAAGTCTTTTAACATCCTAATTCCTTGAGGATTGAAGACTCCAGACACTAACCAGTTACATGCTCTGAAAAAAAAGGAAAATATTTTCAAATATAATCATTTCAAAGTTCCCCCATTTCCAAACTGATTGTTTTGAGATCTATTATCTCCTACTTTTTAATGCATACTAGAACACCTGAGAGGTGAGCAGCAGGTAAGGATCAATAGAACAATTTCTATTTTATCCTCTAGCTCTTGTCTCAGACATTGGGGCTGTAAATAAACACGGCTTATTTTTTGCAATGAAGAATGCTATTTTTCTCACTGGGCAGTGGACAACATCTTGATTGGGTAGGATTTTTGGCTATTTTTTCCTTCTTTTGATATTGGGGTAGACGGGAAATTATTTAAACATTTTAATAGAGAGGATGATTACTGGAGGCTTGAATCACATTTTCTCTTCATTTTCCATCGCAGGAAATTTCTGTATAATTTTGGGGGTGCTACTGGCTAAAAGAAAATTGGAACTCATCCAGTTTGGGGCCTTCTCTGGCAGTTACTGCCCTTGCACTAGAATCAAGCTGCTCATGCCAAATTATCTATAGCTAATTGTCTAGTTATTCTCCTCCTTTTATGCTTCCAATCAGCTTCCTACCTCTATTTCTAAGAATAGGTTTGTATTCAATACCAATCTTCTATATAATCAATTCATTTATGTTTTCTGGGCAGATCAAACCCTGGATTGTTAAGATGTGCTACGTGCAATTTTACAATCTTTGACACAATATGCTAGTAATGGCGTTTTGTTATCCATCTCCTGTTTGAAACTGAGCTTTGTATAGAGTTGCTTCTTATGATATGTTTTGTAGTTAGATGTTGGAATTATGAAAACTCTGCCAATAGAAATTGGGGTAGTTTTAGTCTGCTAACAAGCCTGTATCCTATTCTGCTTGTTCCTTATAGTTTGAGAAAATCCAAAATCATACATTTATCCACCTTTTGTACATATGCAAATATTGGGCTTATATATATTAGGCTTTAAATTGAACATGTATGTAAAGGATTTTTCTGAAAGATGCTATACCACTGTTAATAAACAAGACTGAAATATTATAGCCTATATCTTATTAAAAGGTTTGAGAAAGAAGTAACGTGGAAATCAGTCAAACAAGAGAAACAAAAAGTCCTTTGGAGGCTTCAGAAAGAAAGTGCCAGACTTTTAGTGCCACTCTCCCACAAGAGAGTCGTTGTCCTACATTGCCACCCATTTTGAGACCAAGAAGACTGCCTTAAAAAGTGGTAAAAAAGGTAGGAGTGTGTGGAATCAGGTAGCCATTAAATTATTCCAGAAGAAAATCATATTGAGGTTTATAAGAAAATACGTTAATTAGATTTGGAAACAACATGGGAGTTAATACACTTGATACAAAATTAGTCTACAATAGGGTGTGCAACTTCTAATGGCTTAAGGGCTGTATCAGGTTTTGCCTGGCATGCCAGGAGTTGTCAGGGTGGATTTGGGGAAGCAGTGTCAGAATTTTTTAGGGATTATGTAAGTGCCTTGAGCAACTGAAAGGCTTAAAGTATCTACTTTGCCCTTTAAATCTTCCTAGTTTGGGCCTACTCACTATAAGAACTCTGGGAGTTACAAAAAAATGCTGCTAAATACAGGTAGCTCTCAAGTTATGACCATAATGGAGTCTTCCCATCAGGGTCATAACTTGTGACTATTGTACATCAACTCACAGGCAAGATTGACCTAATTTTATGCCTTTTTTGTGACAGTCATAATACAACCTCGGTGGTTGTTAAGTGAACACCATAGTTGTTAAGCAGACCCATGGTTTGTTAGGGGTGTGGTTTCCACAACTCTGGTATACATAGTCCACGCCCTTTTGTACCAGTATCGTAGTGACCAAATTTAAAATCAGTTCCTTTTCAGAGAAAGTGCAGCCCCATATCCAGCTCTTGAAATTGTTCTTATATTGCTATAATTATGGTTTGAACTGTGTGACTTTTTTCTAACTTTGGAAAAAGCAGATATAATGATTTACCTGCAATCCAAACATGCAAAGTCTCTTAGAATCTGGAAGACAAATTCCTGAAAGTGCTTCCTGTTAAAGATCCCATCATATTCTTGTCATATCCTTGCTGCAGAATGAGCCATGGAAGGAAGACAAAGAACAGATAATATCAAGAGAAGAAGACTTTTTCTTAAACATAACGAAAATAAGTTAATTACTTCGATGTATTTTTAGTGTGGTCCATTTAAAAGGGTTCTCTACAAACACTTTTTCAAGTCACTTGTTACATTCAAAGGAAACCTGAGGATGAACCAAAGACTTTACAGCCACTATATTACATAGATTATATAAATATTCAAGCAGTTTGTAAATTTCAAAATACATCAAAGAACTGTACTTCTGCAATTATTTTCTTTCATTTACTGCATTATACTTTTGTAACTATAGTTTTTAAAAATTTGCTTATTTAATCTTTTCCCATGGAAATAGACTACATGTGTTTCTGAAGCAGTCATTTATTTATGGATCTGTAAATGAAGCCTACAACTTACTTATCTTTCTCCTTCTGCTCCCTCCCATTAATCTCCAGAGAAAAGATCTAAACTCTTAGCTTTTTAGAAAATATGTTACACTTACTACCATCAGTGGTGGGATTCAAATTTTTTTACTACCGGTTCTGTGGGCATGGCTTGGTGGGTGTCGCAGGAGAAGGATACTATAAAAATCTCCACTCAGAGATGGTATTTGCCAGTTCTCTGAACTACTCAAAATTTCTACTACCAGTTCTCCAGAACTGGTCAGAACCTGCTGAATAACACCTCTGACTACCATACAACATATTGTACATATGAATGGTGAATTTTGAGACTGCATTAAATCTTGACATCTTAAATGAAAAACCATGATTCTGAACTTTAAAAATCCCAGGTCCCCCTTTCAAAAACAGCCTTACAATTTATCTTTTACTATTTCTCACAGTGCACACCCACATAGTATCCTTACTTATTGAAGTGCATGGTATACTGGGTTGTTTTATAAGAAGTGGGAAAAGATGCCACCTTAATACTTTACCTGTTTTAGTACAGATTGGAGTTCCCTGTTTGACCAAATATCAGATAGCAGCATCCGAGCTGCTTCAGCTGCTTTGGGATAAGATCTGTAATAATAATAATAATAATAATTAAAAAAACAAAACATCAGAGCTATAATACACATCCATCTCTCTCTCTCTCTCTCTCATTCTCTCTCTCTCTCTCTCTCTCTCTCTCCTACTCCTATCTAAAAGATATGATGCATTTTCAGGATTTAATGTTTTCAAAATCATTGAGGTATGTGTAATTAGCTGACAGATATGAATGCCCCTACACAAAGACCCGAATGGAGTAGCTATGAGAAGGGCATATTTTTAAAATGTTGGTGGAATCATCTTCTGTCAATCAAGTCTGGATTATGGCAAGTGGGTTCTTTGTTTCATGCAATTTTTGAGAATATCAATTCTCTTAATCATACATATCAGTTCTGTTTATGACCAGAACTCAAACCTATGGCCATTGCATTGTCCTTGCAGTCATGTAATTGTGTTTCAGATGCTTGTCAACTCTCATACATTTACAACTGATTGCCATTTGCAAGCTTCCCATCTGGCTTTTGACAAGCAAAGTCAAGAGGAAGCTGGCAAGGAAGATCGTTAAATTGTGTTATTTCACTTAATAACTTTAACAATTTGCTGTGCCACTCATAGCAAAATAGGTCATGCTTCACTCATGTGATGCTTCACTTAACAAATGCACTACTGGTAAATTTTCAGGTCTTGTGGTTGTAAGCTGTGGATTAGCTATAGTCAACCACATTCTTCAATCTTAGAGAAGTATTGTGGGAAGATGGTACAGATAAGACTATTCAATCAGTCCTGTAGTATGTAGAATATATAGTATTTATTGATTTAAATGGTCTTAAAATGAATATGTTATATAGACCAAAATCATACAATATGTAAAATACTTCTAAGTCATACCACATGTCAACATTGCATAGTATCATTGTGATGTGCCCCCAGTTGCATATTATTACTCACCCATTTCGGCACAGGCCTACTACATTATTTATCAAACTGCCAGTCAAGTAGGGCTTGGCCATCTGTGGGTTGTACATGATTAAGTTCCTCAGGGCATAGCAAGCCGATGTCATAATATCTCCATAGTTGCTAGAACCTGGAGCCTGAAGTGCTAGAAGGCGAGTCACATCTGGAAGCACCTGGTGAGCTAAAGAGGTGGAAAAAGGCCATCTTTAAATAAAAAATGGAATATAAGTTTCTCAAAAGAGCTCCTCAGGCTAAGATTAAGAGAAAAATTAACTGCTTTCAGATATTTAGGAAGAGAGTCTAAGTTTTTCTGAATGCAAAATTATAATGTAAAAAGGACTGCAGCATATCAGCATCAGGTGGTGATGAAATTTGTGTAGATTTCCTGATAAAATATATTTGGCCCATAAAAATGAAGCAACATCACTTCATGTGAAAAATAGCACAGCCCAAAAATACCAGTCAGTCTTCCCTCCTTTGTGTTTCCATTTCACAGCTCATTTAATCTTGAACCCCATAATACTGATGAATAAATAATACAGCAACTATTAATATGGACAACAAGGAAAGCTACTAGAGAAGTCTGTCCTTTCATGTTGCTCACCATATGTGTCAAATTTGCAACACCCAACATTCCCAGCCAGTGTGCTTGAAGAACTCTGGGAGTTGTAGCCCAATAACAGGATTACAGGTTGAGGAAAGTTAACAGGTTGAGGGAAATTTCAACTATTAAAGCATTATTATAAAACAAGAAATGTGATACTTATTTAATTAGAGTTGATGTTTTTTTAAAATAAAAGGCTCCACAGAAAAGATATATTTATAAAATGTCAATGTCTTAGTTACCTGTAACAAAAGGTTTTTTTGCCTTTTACATTGTGGAAGAAATGGTGGGAATGATATATCAGAGAGGCCCATGGAATACAAAATAATGCCTACCCATGGTTTTGTGGAGAATAGAATGTCGAGACATGTTGCTCAGTAAAGATGTTCCAGATCGGACAACTTCAGAATTATTGGATTGCAGAAGCCGTGCTATGCGGGGCAGCCCTTTCTCCTTTAAGGCAATTAGTTGGCTCATTGCATTCGACATCTAGAAGACAAAGCAAACTTACATTTGAAACCAGGAGCATTCAGGATTCCTTACTGCTAGAAAATCATATTCAAAAAACAACTTATTAGCCATTTTATGTTTGCTGTTTCATCAGGCTAGCTTTCCAGGAAAAGCAAAGCTAGACCAGGTCTCTTTCTGCATATCACTCACAAATATCTAAGTTTGGGCTTTGCCATTTTGTTACCAAAGAACAAACAAAAGTGTTGATAACAAACTGTAAATGACAAAGCCCAAAAATTAGGGAACACTCCTTATGAAACAGTTAAAACATAAATCCTTAAAAATTTTGCTTTGCTCAGTCCTGGAGTCCCAAAGGTGAAAGCCTGAAACAAACACCTTGGGCAAGATCTCTTTTTTGTACTGTGAGGGCACTTTTGGTACAAACGCCCTCAAATAGTTCTTCACAGTTTCCTCTGCAAACAGATCTTACAAGGAGCAATTTTTCAGAAAACATGTATGAGCCATGAATTCACACATGATGCCCCCAAACAGAGAGAATAGAAGAGGCCTACACAGAAGGCACATGACATCTTAGTCAGTTTCTTCCCTCAACCCGCAGTTGGGTTTAAAGTGGGTAAGACTACAGGTATTGCACAGTTAATGATCACTCACTCAATGACTTGACTATGATATCACTTGTTTGTTTGGGTATATTTTATTACACTGAAAATTTTAAAGCAATTATCTTCCTAATTAATATCTGGCTAATAAAAAATGTTTTTTTCTAATGGAAGAAGTTTGATCTCTATTAGCAGTGTTAATTTTTATCAGCAGATAAACAGAAAAAATGGGTACATCCTTTAGATTTTGGTGGATTTTGATTATTCTCTAAAGAAATGTATTTTTCAATAAAAGAGAATATTCATAGTTCTGAGAGTCACAGATGCTCTCTTAGGTTGGATGTTTAATTGCAAGTATTTCATTATCTGACTTGGTAACATTATCAGTGCAGGAGCTAATGAATATTAATAAAGAGTAACCAAATGACTTCAAGCAAACACCCAAGCTCAGAGAGCACTAAGGGCTCACAATTTCATTTTTCTCAGAGTTTTATTTTCTTCACCAGAAGGAAATAGAGTGTTTTCCCTGAAACCCAACCAAGCATGTAGGGACAAAGTGTAATAGTTACCATTCCTCTGCTTGCAGTCAGATTTTGCAGAGCTCCAGCGCATGCCTCAAGGGTGGCATCTTTTTTGCTCTTTTCCATTAAAGACAGGTAGGTGCGGATGGCATCAGAATGGTACAGCCAGCTGGAACCTTTAGGTTTATAGTCCTCTTCAGGAAGTGGTAGATTATACTCATCATACTAAAGATCAATCAAAAGGAAAATTTAAAACATTCAGATTGTGCAAAAGGCCCACATTTTATTACCCTAACTTATCATTTTACCCTGCTAATTAAATAGGGTGCAAAGTGTGTCTCAATATATTTGTGGCCTCATGGCACAAGCTTAGAAACTCTTAAACAATTGGCACACTTGGATAAAATACTGAAATATTGTCTGAGATATATCTGTTTTTCTAAGATGCCATTTTTATTTTTTACAATCATCAGAACTGAATTTGTTCAGTGGTTCAGGTTCAAATTTAAAAATAAAAATTCAGTAATTCTGATAATTGCCAAAATTCATGAATTTGACAACCTTGCTCCAGGAACTGATAGGATCTAGTTGAGACAATCAACCTTTCATCAGGTTTCAGTGACTTCTTTAAGGTTTTGACATTTTTATATGAATCCTCATGAAATTGAGGACAGCTGTGGTGACATTTCACAAAGGATTGCCAAAATTGCATGAAATTTGGGGGTCTAACTAAACTTCAACAATTCATTTTTTTTAAAAAAATATTTTACAGGGAAAATGCAGATTTGAGACTTGACCAATTCTCTGACACCTGCAACTGCTAGTGAAGGGTAGTTTTCCCATTCTAGAGAAGGGATGTAGGATCTATTTTTGTTTCAATGAAAAGTGTCTTCACTTGAATGGCACCTTCTGCAATCTGTAAATGAATACTTCACATCTTACCTCTAGCTTCCCTCTATTGTTGAAGCAGCCTGTCAAGCTTTTGTCCGTGTGAGTGTTTCTGGCCAAGTGGTTAAGATGGGTGTATTTATTTGGCACTTCAGCATCCAGGCGGTAGGACAAATTATGAAGGATACAGATACAGTTCTCCACAGACTATAAGAATCAAAATAATTAATTATTAATTATGCCAATACATTTGCCATCATTATTTTGGATATACACAGAGGTACATATTCATGTGTTATCTTGGTTTAGAGATTAAACTTATTCCTCAGTTTTAATTTCTAATATCCTTACAACAGGACTCCCAGTGTTTTCATTGCCATAAAGATTCCTCCAGAAAGATGAGAAAAATGTTATAGAAACCATGTGTTTCTTGAAATGCTTAACATAAAAGGAATTTGTAACAGTTGTCTGAATTTTTCACTTAAGGACAGAATTGGGAAGATAATGGAAGCAAAGTGATTCTAAGATTATGAAGAAATTAGGTTGGGGAAATAATATATCAACAAATACGTGAAAAAAAAAAATCAAGCTGAAAAATTGATGAGACTGTAATACTGAATGTGTTTTTAGGGCAGAACCTAATGGTGCAGGTAGTCCTTGACTTATGACTGCAATTGAGCCAGGCAATTATGGCGGTAAAATAGGTAATCTCATGACCAACCTGATTTTATGAACTTTTTTGCAGCCATGGTTAAGAGAACACCGTGGTCACAAAGCAAACACCACAATCATTAAGCAACACTGTGATAATTAAGCCAATTCATTGTTTGCTGGGGGCAGCTTTTGCCAGAAACTGAAGTAATCGCCAATTTCCAGCAAAAACATTGTAAATTGCTATCACATAACTGTAGAACTCTGCCAACGATTGCTGAGTGCTCAAAATGCAGTCATATGACCATGAGGACAGCCATTAGAACTATGGAATGTGTCATAAATACCATTTGGGGGATCCATCACAACTTTGAACGGTCAATAAATGATTAGTCATAGGTTGACAAATGCTTGTATTCCAAATGTACAATATATAGAATTTGGAATTTGGTAACAATGAATATTTCTTTCTTCCTATCTACGTTGCCATACAACAGGATTTTGTGTTTTCAAGGATGCAGCTACCATCTTATAATAAATTTGGAAATAAGAAAGACCTTTGAAATTGAACAAGGATCTTGCTAAAGTGCAACTCCAAAGCTAAAAGACATCTTGACTGGATCCAAAGTAATTGTCCCTTTGCATTGTGTTCATGAGCATTATAGCTCACAATATTTTATGTAGTTTTTACAGGAAGGCACAGAAGAGTTTAAAAAAAGCTATTCCATATTTATATATTTACTGGGATTCAGTCCAAGGCTAATTTTTCATGGAACCAAGAGCTGTATTAATTTATAAAGTATACAAAAATATCTTATTGCCTTATCATCTGGCTGGTTAGCTGCCACACAATTCTGGGTATATGTCATCACAGAGTCAATCAATCCGGGATAGTTTCTCATGGTTTGACGTCCAGCATCTGCAGAACTCAAGTTCCTACAAGGTTGATTTTATAAAGGAAAAGAAAGAATACTTTGTTTAGTTAAGTTTACATATGGCATAGAGAAAACCATTAAACATTAAGACGGAGAAGATTTAGATAGTGAATTTTAGAGGTGCTTTGAGAATGTAAACTGATTAATCCTCACTTGTATTCTAAGATTTGCAAAGAATAATCTCAAAACAATCCCATCTCATATCAGCTGGTCTCTGAGAACACAGGCCATTATCCTGCAAAGCAGTCCAGCATTGCCTGAAGATCTCTTCCATAGAAAAACCATAAAAATTGTGTCTTCTGTTTGTGTGGGTCTTTTTTTCATTCTACATGCACTTTGAATACATAAGCTTCCATTTGTTCTTGCAGTTTTGATGATTCCTGGCTTAGTATTTTATGGATAAGCAGTAAATATCATATCAAAAGGCTTCATCTGAGCTTGTGGTTATGAAGTTTATATTATAATCTGATTGATTTGCAGTTTGATCTGTAACGTTCATATTAATTTTCAAAGTCACTATAGTAAAGGAGAGGGGCCATAGAGCACTCACCTAGCACATGACTTTATGTGCAAAAAGGCTGTATCCCTTGTGAGTAGAGCTAGGAAAATCTCTATTAAAAAGTACCAGAGAGCTGTGTCTTTTCCATAAACAAACCTTTCTTGACCTGTAACTTTCCAGGTGTGTTGAACTACGGTCTCTATTATCCCTAGCCGGCATTGAAAGTTTGTATGTATCATGGAAATCATGGACATAGAAGTCCAACACATCTGAGAAGCATCACGGAGAAGAACAGTATAGATAACAAGTGAGAAGTTTATCAGGGCCAGGGAAGGAACAATTAAAATTCATGGAGGAATTTTGAAAAATGGGTTACAGTTCATCAGTCAGCAGGGGCAGTTTTGCTAAGATTTCCCTATCCTCTCCACACACCCCCCCCCCCCCCCCAGATTTCTGTAGTTACAGACTGAAGGTTTGCATTTTGTTTTAAATGGAGTTAAGCAAGTTTATATTTTCTGATTTCCAATTCTTGATAATTAGAAACCACACCTCCAATATTGGGCAATCGAGGGCACAGAACAAATATTCAAATTCTACGCAGCTACTTTACAGTTAAATCTATGTTTCATAACAGAATAAATAACCTCAATTAAAATCTCTGAGGGCAAATGGTAATAAATTATTTGATTAGGCATTTGGATAAAATAGTCAACTGTTTAAACAGGATTATAGTACATCTTAATAAGTCTGCCCATGGTTGAGTTTTAGAAAGCATTTTAAAAAGGAGTAGCAGCAACATGCAGGTATAGAAATCAGTTGCACATATGGTCCTACATATGTAACTATTGTTGAGAGAATTTTGCTCCAGGAAGGGGCAAAACAGAAGATACAATAAAGTAATTGAAGACAGATTATGTCATACCGTATCTTCACGTTGGGGTTCTTTATAATAAATTACTTAATATAAGCACGTTGTATGAATGTTACATTGAAACCAAACCACCATATATGGAAGAAGTTTCACTTTTGTTAAGATCCCTGGTTTTCCCCAAACACTGATTTCAGCATTTTAGTTTAAGGAAGAAATACATTCAATACTTGCTATTGTTGTTCAATTAAGAGTCAAACATTCTTCTTAATCTTCTGCAGATCACCCAAAATTGTACCAGTAGCTTCTGATCTATCTACTGCCTATCCCTGTCCTAAGGCAGTGCTTCAGTTGATTAAATTTTCTAATTGCAAATATGTTTCATCTGCCCATCCAATAGTTCCTAGTTGCTGGCAGCTAGGAGACTGGTAGTTGAAAGCTACAAGTCAGAACTAATATCTGCATGCCAAGGTCGGTTTAATTTTCGCAAGCACAAGCAAAACTTCTCTGCCCACAAATTGCCTTGTATAGTATAAATTGGAGTGACTGACAAGAGTTCAAGGTATTTTAGATAGGAAAGTCAATACAATAGGACTTTTTCTAGAAAATCAATAGCCAGAGGCTATTGTTTAAATTCTCAGAAAAGTAAACAGGAAGGATTGCATTTTAACAATATAGTTGGACATTTGTCTGTGACATCACAGATCTTGCACCTGCTTGTTATTTAATTAAACAACAGCAACATCCAAATATATTTATTTACATGGATGATTGCATTATCTAATTCAGAAGCTTTGATTATGGCAATTGAAGAGTTTAGATGGACATTCTTTCCTTGACAAGTTTTTTTTAAAAGAAGCTTATTGACTACCTATTTCCTTGCCATTTCAAGGTACTGCTGCTTTTCTTCAAAGACCTAAATGGCTTGGAAACCAACACTGAAAGAAATGCCTCCTTCACACCAGTCTGCTAGCATGCGAGATCCACCTCTGTAAGGTCTCAGAAATCATTCTTCATATCACCAACTCCACTGAAGGCAGAGGTGGTATTCAGCAGGTTCCGTCCAGTTCTGGAGAACCGGTAGCGGAAATTTTGAATAGTCTGGAGAACCGGCAAATACCACCTCTGACTGGCTCTGCCCCCATCTATTCTCTGCCTCCCGAGTCCCAGCTGATCAGCTGGGTCTTCTTTTGTTGCTCTGCACAGGAGAACGGAGCTGGAAAGCAGGTTAGTGGGGTAGGGAGGGAATGGGATTTTGCAGTAACCTTCCCCCAGGATTGGGGTAGGGATGGAGATTTTGCAGTATCCTTCCCCTGCCACACCCACCAAGCCACGCTACGCCCACAGAACCAGTAGTAAAAAAATTTGAATCTCACCACTGCCTGAAGGTAAGACTTAAACTATTACCTTTTTTAAACAACAGAATCCCAGCTATATGCAAAAAGATGCAGAGTTCTTCCATCTTTTTAAAGTTTGATTGTTTATCTTTATATTACTGATATTGCTGTCTTTGTAAATATTTGAAAAACAAAACAAAACAACAGATAGCTTCTTTGGAGGATCGTTCCAGGATAACTTTAAACTCATTCTCAGTTATTTTTAATGACATGCTGAAAATATTAATATTATGTCCAAAGATGTACCTTAAACAGCCAGTGGCATTGAAGAAAACTTCTGGGTCAACCATTTCTCTTGATCTATTGCTAATACCATCACACCATCCAGAAAAAGGCACAATAACACGATCAGTCAGAACTGGAAGAGCATCGTGTATCAGATCTTCTTTCAGTTCATCAGTGGAGGACAGGTTCCAGAGCAATCCTGGAAATTAAGTTAAAGAGGTTTGTGGCTGGACTTTGCAGTGTGACTTTTTCCATATAAACAGGCAAGACAGAGTGATGTGAAAGTCTATCTCTAAATATTCACTGAAGTCAAGCAGGTCTTCCAAGTGAATTATCACTGAAGGATGATACTACAAGCCTATTTCCTGATAACATTTAGCCTTATCTTAATGCAGGAATGTTACTGAAATATGGAACAAGAAAAGAAAATATGAGATAATGCTTTTCCTGTTAAGTGATAAGATATATTTGCAAAATTATCCTATTCACAAAAAAAGAGAGATGCTATGTTAAATTTTTCTAATACAAATTAGTGGAAGCACAGTGAATCTCTTGAATTCAAGAATTTCTTGAATTCAAGAACTACATTCATCACTTAATCTGTCGGCCATCCAAATAACTAGGAAAAAAGGGAAATCCTAATTCCCTTTCTTGAAGAGATGTATCTTTTGGTGTCCAAAGTATCCGTTTAGTAACTCATTGCCACTGTTGCTTCACCTTGCTGTAAAACAAAAGAATACCTGTCAACTGCTTCTGTATTTCGGTGTTCCCAGTCCTCCTCAGGAGACCCACACACTCTCGAATTCCATTCTGCCTGCGGGTTTCTAATTTGTTAGTTGGATTTCTGAAGACTAAATTTCGAAGGGCCCCAGCTGAAGCCTGCTGCACATTCTCATCTGAACTGCGCAGAAGTTCAATCAGCTTGGCAATGCCTCCAAGTCGGTAAACCTAAAAAAGAAATAATTGAAATGTGCATGGAACAAAACTGCTCATAAAGCTCTGCTGTTCTTGTAGTCAATACCAAAACTTTTGTGTTAAAAGTTGATGGTAAAGTTGAAATATATGCCTTAAGAAGGTTCTATTGCAGAAAATATGCATATGTAACCCTCTTTGGCACATATACTAGGGAGGTGGAGGTAATGGTTACTATCTCCATTTCAAGTCTTCAGAACTATATGAAAGTTTCTTGAGACCCTAATGGTTTTCTTTGGATTGGAATGGAACGGAACAGAACAGAATAGAATAGAATATTTCTGATTGATAAACAACTATCTAATACCAGGGATTAAAAAGGATTTCAAAAAAATGAATCATGTCTTGGTCTTCCCATTATTGTTCTCAAACTGAAGATATATGTACCACTGAATATAAATTATTTCAGTAGTTTAATAAATACAGGATTTACACATTTTAAGCAATAGCTATAATATGACTCTATTTGTGTTATAAGAATGGTGTTATGAATTATATGAACCAGAACTATGATGCTGACTTGAGAAAAATTGGTCTTTAGTTCTGCTATTAATAAGGACTGATGCTGATGTATTATATTATATGAATAATAGCTACTACTTGCATTTAACTAAACTATTTTGAGTGTCTATGTTTTTACTGATCAATAAAATGGTATTGAGGTAGGGAAGGCATATATAAACTTTCTATCTCCTGGTCTAAATGTTGGCCTTCAAGCACCAAGCAGTCATCAGGGTGCTATTAATTACAATAAGTAATACATGGAGAGTATAGAAAATACATTTTACCTCTTTCTTTACTGGAATAGGGGAGACATTTGGGAAACAGGTACAACTCTATTGAACCCATCTCCAACATTAATTCATCCTCCCTCTGAGAATATTTTATTGCTAAGTGCTCTGATTACTTACAGTTGAGCTTTAATCTGTGTCTTTTCATGCTTCTTATCTTTTTAGCTCAAAGTGGACATGTCCCTTAAACTAAAGGATTCTGACCAGGAAAAAAAATTGAAGTGATGGTGTTGGGCTTGCATACCTAACTGTAATTTCCATCTCTTTTCTGCCAACTAAAGTTATCAAGAATTTAAACTACTATATTTACCTAAAAGGTAGTCTAGTTTAACATGCAAGACAAGACCTTTCTGGAGGTACAATGACAAAACAGTCAATGTAACTTTTTTCTGTCCAATTGTTGATCCCACAGTGACAACATTCCCTAATTCTCACTTCATGCAAAAGGGAAACTAAATAAATTATTTAATATTTATTAATAAACAATATCCATATAAGTCATGCAATATTCCAAACTCAAGATTGGATACTGTTTCTTGGATACAGTTCTTGAATTCATAATGAATATATTAAAAATAACTATATCTTTAGAATCGTTAATCAAATATAGTAAATCTTACACAAATCTTTTGTCTTCATTCAAATAAGAGCATTTAAGTCTATTTCAATCAGGGATACTTCTAACAACTGTAAGTTTAGGTTCTCAAATATAAATTATTTGTGAATAAATATAATGTTATGTATATTAAGTAAATATGGATGTAAAACGTAGTTTATTTATCCATGCAATCTGCTTTAATAACTTATTTGCTGTTGCATGGATATGTTGTTGGTTCCTAATCTGATCTTCCTGCTTTAGCTACAAAAAAAAAAAAATGTTCTCACATAGTTCTGCATTTTTAATCTTCCACCATGAAGCTGAAATAATATATTTACCTCTTGCTTGGCAGATTCATCTTGAAAACAGGTGTGTTGGAGATAATAGGCACCCATGGCCTGGTTCTTCTCATCTGAGGAACACAGAAGTTGAATGGCTTTCTGGATAGTCATTGCTCCATAATCCACTTCATCATGACATATTCTGAATATAAAAATAAGAAACATTCAAAACTGCCCTGATCTTCATGCAGGGTAGCCTATTTTAAAAAGAAAAAGGAGTTGTGTGATTCTTTTGACTTCTCATCAGGCATGAGCTTAGTTTTCATGATCACAAATTGGTCAGGATTTAATTAAATAAATGAAAGAAACTTTTGGAGAGTCTTGTTGAGTTGGGGACACTGCTATTTTACAGTTTCACCCTTTAGTAGTGTTATATTAAGTATCCAAATTATCATTATGTTAAAAGTTATTCTTTTAACACAGAATTATTCTTAAATTAAAGCTTTATTTCCCAGATTTCTTGTTTGATATATCAGCCTTTTTATATGCTACTCTTTTGTTTTCTGCTCTTTATTGATATATGCTCTCACTTCTGTTCTGTTGTCTGTGACTCACAATTGTATCATGATTACATAAAATCTTCCTAAGTATAAAATATATAACAGAATAGGAAAGAACTTGGAAATCTTCTAGTATAATCCCTTGCTTGTATTATTTCAGAAAATGTTTGTCCAAATTCTTCTTAAAAACCTCCAGTACTGGTGAATCCACAAGTTCTGAAGGCAAATCATACCACTGATTAAAATATTCTAACAGTCTGGTAATTTCTCCTTAGTCCTAGATTATATCTCTTCTTGATTGATTTCCATCCATTGCTTTTTGTTCTGCCTTTAAATGCTTTGAAGACTAGGTTGACTTGCTCTTCTCTCAGGTTGCCCTTGGATATTAGAACACAGCTATCAGGTCACCCCTCGTCCTTATTTTCATTAAAGTAGACATATCCAGTTTGTGCAACTGTTCTTCATATGTTTTAGCCTTCAGTTCCCTCATCATCTTTGTTGCTTTTCTTTGCACTTTTTCTAGAGTCTCAACATCCTTTTTATATTGTAATGACCAAACCTGGATGCAATATTTTAAGTATGGTCTTGTGAAGGCATTATAAAGTGATTAAAATATTACATAGATTGTACCATCTGCAACATTCTAATTATCTTTGTATAACAAAAACAAGGCAAGGTTACTGTGCTAACTTTTGCATTTGTAAAACATAGAACTTAAAAGTTAAAGAATTGAATTATTTGAATTCCTCATATTTATCAGTTAAACACTGGTATTATTTTGACTGTTCAGTTAGAATGAATATTTGGTCAGTTTTCCCATAAAGATGGTTTCTTCCATTCTTTACAGACAGAAAAAATCTGCTGCTATACATGTGGCATTCAATCATATTCAATTAAAAAGTGCATAGCTGAGGAATCCAGTAAATCCCAGATTTTGGTATTGGTCTCTATGTCTGTGAAAAGACATTTGGGGATATATAACAATTGTAGAGTTTCATAGGATTTTTCCAATATTTGGGGTAGTTTGATGTGATATGTAATGCTTCTTCATATTAACAATTGCCAATAGGGAATGACTGAAACAATGCCTGAAGTGGCTCTGAACTCTGTTGTTATTATTATTTTTATTATTATTGAGCACTATTTGACACAACTCATAACAGTAATCACAATGCTTTAGCACATTCAAAGACATGACTAATGAATGGGATGATTCTCGAGAGGAAAAAGGCCAGGCTAAAGTTCAAGAGGCAGGGTAATCACAGTTCAGTATTAGAATCACATATTTCATGCAGAAACTGCTGGACTCATTATCTGGGTTCTGTATTCAGAGTTGGGCAAGACTTTGACTTGAGTAAATTTTGATTTTGATCAGTTATTCATTACTCCAGCCTTAAGCTGGTTGTGCCCTGTTCCATCTATTAGGCAAGTCTCTATAATAGAACCTCCAAATTTCATCTGACCTGGAAAATAAAACATATGGGGAAAAAAATCCTCCAGCTTCTCTTGGCTCTCAAGAATTAAACCATCAATCCTTGGGGTGAGTGCACATCTCTAAGCATTTATTTATTTATTTCAACAGAAAGTAATCTACAAAATGAAATTTCCATTCTGGCTGATTTCAAAAGTGACTCACTCACGGTGCCCTTTCTAAAACAATCACATTAATTCCATCCCATTCCCACTATGGTACAGGACCAAGCAGTCTCAGTTCTAGAAATGAAACAGCTCCCAAAGTGGAACTGGTTCTACTGGATGGAAGAGTCACCAGCCAGGCCTGTGCTTCAAGGCAAACAACTCCCCAATCTGGACCAGTTTCACAAGATGAACCACACCCAATTGGAAAGGGTGCTCCAAAGGAGCCACTCCTGAAAGATGTTTGGCAGAGGAAAGTGTTTCCCACACAGTAGTTTAAGAGACGAAAGCAACTCTGTTTTAATAGGAACCTGGATCTGTAACCATCATTTCTTAAGGAGCGGTTTGGGAAGCTGCTTGATTTCAAACTCTAGCATGCCACTTGCACTGCTGCATGTAGAATAGTCCTAATACATTTTATTACAACAGAACAGTTTGCATACCATCATCCACCTCATTTTCAGGAAGGTTTCTAATGCTGGCTCATATATACATGTCTCTACATATTCTAATTTAAAATAGTTAGATGAAGCTGAATCTAGCATGCAATTACTTTACAGAACTGCTGCAGAACATATATGGGTGCATTAAATAAACCATATACATTTTGAAGCACACACTGTTTCTTCAGAAGCTGTTTCCAGCTGTCTCTAGAAGTATGTTCAAAAACAATCATACAGACCCCTAGAAACTGTCATATCAATCTGGAAAAAGACATAGCTGCTTTAATGATTCCATTTGTACATAAAACTATAGTAAACTCTATGTTCCGTTTCAGTGGGCATTCCACAAGACAAGCTGAGCCATATAGCCCACTATCCAACGTTCACGAGTAGTTAATATTCAGAATTGGTTCAACGTTCTATGAATAAAGAAATTATTATTGGGTTTCTTTTTATTCCAATGATTGAGGTCTTTTAGATATAGGTTAAGTAAAAATAAAAAATTCCTACTATAATTTTTAGATCATTATATGTAGTTTTTCATTGGAAGAACTCAATCACTGATTAGACATTGAATTGTGCCGCTAACCATACAACTATCAGTGGTGTAGCAGGGAAATATATTAATAAACAACAGCAGTATTGATCTACTGTAAAATATGGATACCACTTATTTTGTTACTTATGGATTCTTTATACATAACTGACAGCCACACCATGCAATTCTAATAAGGTTACTTCCTAATTAGTGTGCTTAAGATTGTACTCTAAATGGCTTTCTACCTCAGGCAAATTCTATCAAAGTCATATGAAGTGTGCCAGAGTAAGGTTCTGATTGTTATTAATAATAATTATTTTCAAAGTGATGGAAACCAAAATGCTCCAACTGGGTTTTCATTGTGTTGTTTAACTACCACCTATCTGTCTTTATACTTGCACATAATGTCCCACATCATGGGCAGCACAGAGAAAACATGCACAGAGACTTACCTGGAGCGACCTTGTCCGTAGATTGCATCAGGCTTGCTGGCTACAGGCTGGGCATAGACTGCATCTTGCTTGTTAGTAGAAGTGCAAGAGGGGGTGCGGATTGGAATTCTCTTATTTGGCCTTGTGAGGGTTGTAATTCCTTCCTGATTGTTGCATGTATTGCTGTAGAGGCTGTGACGATGTAGACTGGTCTTGTGATTCACCCGGCTTCCACTCTGATTTCTCCTTAGTGTGCCTCGTGGAGGGTCATTGTAGAGGTCTGGCTCACTCCGACTACTCTTCATGTTCTGCACAAAGCAGTAGTCACTGCCACCCTGTGTAGGACTGCAGATCTTGTTATAATGTTTGCTACCCCAACCGTCCATTTGGCTGTAGGAACTGTAGCGTTTGTTTTCAGCTGCATTTCTTTTGAGAGTTCCATTGTACATCTGATGGACACAGAAAGAAGGCAGAAGGGAAGGAAAACCAACAAATGTCTTTGATTAATGTTATTCTTCATCTGATTGACAAAGATAAAGTGAAAAAACTGGGAGAAATTGGGTGCTGGACTTAATGAAAATAACATGTCCTTTGACTGAATCATGCTGAATAACAGGCACCAGTCAAAAACATGCTGCTCCCAGAAATGGCATCAAACTGAGAGTCAATATTTTCAAAATACAATTCCATGCATGGATAGTCACTGCACTCAATAGAGCAGAGGTCCCCAACCCCTGGTCCATGGACCGGCAACAGTCTGTGGCATGCCAGAAAATGGGCCACACAAACAAGCAAAGCCCCATCCATGGGATGCAGGCAGCACATGAACCCCACCCCCTCCAGTCCACAGAAAAACTTCTCTCCATGGATCTGGTCCCTGGTGCCCAAAAGACTGGGGGCCACTGCAAGAGAAGTATAAATTGGCAAAGTTTTGTTGTATCTTTCAAACAGTAGTTCTTGTCGTAATCTAGTCTGCTTGTTGTCTTCACCCCCCACACATGGCTTTCCATGTTGGCAGAGACAGTCCTGCATAAGAATATATATTATTTCTTATAATCACCTCTAAGGATTGCCAATATTATTGTTGATATTACATAGTATTATCCATAGATTCACCCCCTCCTCTATGTTTATGTCAGTGTAATAGGAATGAGGATATCCAAGATTAATTTGTTCAAAACAGTTTTCACCTTATTTTCCTATCACTGAAATCTAATGCAAACTTCCCAAAAACTTCAAATAAAATTCTGCATTTTACTTATATAGATAGTTATCACAGGTTTTAGAAAACCTCAAAGAATCATGATACATGTGGCTTTTCATATGTTCTGTTGCCATTAAAGACTCGTCATCTCTAACTAGTGGAGCAATTGATGCAGGATTTAGTTCAGCAATATCCAGAAGGCCATATGCACAAGTATACAAGATCCTCTGCATATGATAATAATCAGTAACTCTCTTCTGAGGGCAGGAAATTGTAAATCATCTTTTATGCATCCATTCTAGTCTTAACTTTATTCATTTATTTTACTATAATGTGATGCATATTTGAAGTTGCTAATTTTAAACAGAACATGCACCTATACAATCCAACCTAAACACTTGATTTACAAAGGAGGCATTTCCATTATGTTCAATGGCATATACTCACATTGTATATACATTACACTGCAACTTTAGCCTAAACAGTTGCAACTAACTATATCCTGACAATGATATACTCATGAATGCGAGTACAATACCTGTTACCATACATGAACATGTATTCTACCAGTATTTAATAGCATCTGCGGGGATTTCGTGGGATTCTTTATAACTTAGCTGTATCTGATTACACATTTCATGCTCCTTGCCTAGCAGTTCTGACAGATATTTTCTAACACATCTGAAAGGTAGCAGGTAAGGAAGCTCTGATTTAAATCAACCCTTTGAAGAATGCTTTTGTTAATGAATGCCTAATTTGGTTATTCAAATTTTGGGAGGCATTTTGCAGGCAAAAATATAGCCTTGCTGAAATAAAGAACTTTTTGACACCTGTCAGTTACTGGAAAGTATAGCCATCTATACTCCCCCCCTTCCCCAATTCAATGAGAAGTTCAGTTATAGTCTAACCTAACATACTCATTGAAAGAAGAGCTATGTGAACTTGAGAGTTTATGATTAACTTTCAAAGTAGAGGTTTCAGGATACACTTCATATTTGTATAGACAAGGAATCTGACCCTGAATTTGAAGCACACAAAAATATTAGCACCCCTCATACTTTGGAAAATCTTAGAAAGAAAAGTGGTTTGCCTTAATATACACATAAAACTTAAGTAACCCATTTTAAGGATCAAATGTTTTTTTTGGGGGGGGGGAACCCCGCAATCTTCTTTGCAGCTAAATATGTCATATTGCAATACAGAATACCAAAAAGCCACACTGTTTCTTGAAAAAGAATAAGACCCAGAACTCTAAAAGGGATTTTGATGATGAGTTTCTTTTCACACAAACCAAGCTGTTTTTCCATCTCTCTACAAACTATACTTTCAGTGTTGCACCCCACCCAGTCTGTACTTGCACTGACTTGCCTCTTTTTTGTTGAACAAAAAAAAAAAGCCTTTCCAAAACTCAAAACATGGCATTCACAATTCCCAAGACTTACTGGGAAAAAGAATATGTTAATATCTCATTTGTAATGAAAACTAGTTTCTCATTCCAAAATGCAATCTCTTCCCACAAACACAGAATAAGCTATGTGGATGCATACATATCTATGCACACCTTTTTTGTTTGTTCTCCTTCCAGATGCATGATGTGGGTACTTGCAAAAGAAAACAGAAGTTGCACACAAATGATATGTTTAGTCTTTAATGTGAACATAATAGCTAGCTTTTGTTTGCAGTTAATGCCCCAGGGACTAGACATCTCTGCCAAATTGCCATTTCTGACATCCCTCGTTACTGGAATAAAAACACATGTTAACTTATAAAATAAACTTAGCTGCCACTGCTTTCTAATATTTTATTTATTTTATTTATTTTATTTATTTGTCAATTGTTTACGAGATAAGTAAAAGTGTATACATAATTATGAATACATGAAATGAGTACATATAAGAAAAATAAAAGAAAAATAAAAGAAACAATAGGACAGGGACGTCCTATTATATAGAACTTTTCTTCATGGCTTTATTCATCTGCATTCTTCTTGTTCTTGAGTCAGCAGAAAAGGATGCCAAGATTAATTGGACTGGGCTGACAACCAAACTCTAATTTGGCTCCCTAACAATGATGCTGCCTTTACAGGTTTTATACAGGATAAATTAAAGAAAGTCATTGATGGATTCCTGGGGTTTATTTCCCTTCCCACTAAGCATTACCTGCTGATGGGAAACCCAACATGAATTGGTCGCCTTAACATGTTCTGCAGAGGGATGGGCCGAGTGTGGCAGCTGCCCTTGAGAGAGAGTATGGCCACCTCTCAAGTCCCCTGAAAAACAGCTCACCTACAGTATTCCATGGCAGCAATCTATCTCCCTGGATGTTTCTGACATCAGCACCGGAGCAATATAAATCCCATGTATACAAAAAGGCCAGCCAACCAATCATATACACGGGGAAGTAAATAAAAGAGAGTTTTCAAGGTACATTGTCAGAGTCTCTCTCATTTCCCCACAATGTTATGCATCCTAACTTACAGTTGATCAGAGGAGCACTGAATGAACTAGAAAAGATTGACTGAAAGTAATCAATCATGGAAATGGCAATGCTGGAGATTAGTGACTGTGGCCGGCATCACTCAGAAGTCTCCAGGGGAGTATGAAAATGTCAGCAGAAGATAAAATGGCACAAATATTATTATCCACCTAATTATAAGGGTAGCAATAAGTATGGCCACACATAAAACTTTGCTGGTAAAAAAAAATCTATAATGAAAGTATTTAGAACATCCACAATACAGGGTGTTACAATCTGATTCTCTCATCTAATTTCCTGTACAGCACATCACTAGTCCTCTTTTTAAATCATATATAAATCTACCTTTAAAAGAAAACATGTTTAGTATTATTTAGAAGAACTCTACACCTGCATGATGTCTGACCAACACCAGAGAAGCATTGCATAAGAGAATACCTTGACACACAGCATCTCTCTCCAACTAAGTCAAAATGACCATGGAGGACAGTGCAAAATGGCCAGAAGGGAGAGGCTATACCTGCAGCAATCTGAACTAGCTTATAAGACCTTGGCAAAACCCAGCCCTCATCAATACCAAACATCAGCATGAAGAAGTGCTGCTGTTCATGTCCATGACAAGTCTTACATTGGGGGGGAAAGAGAAAAATTGTGCATTATAAACTGGAACAACAAAGTGTTTGGTTGCTGGGTCATGAAGATGAGCCCTTAATAAAAAAAAAAACCCGATTAAATATGATCAGGAACAACTGGAACAGCATCTACACATTTTTCAAGATAATAGGAAGTTCAAGAAGTAGACTGCAGTGTTCCATTTCACCAAACAATGGACTCCTCTGTGTGAGAGATGGGCAGTTTTAAAATTAGATGGTGATGATAGATAGATAGATAGATAGATAGATAGATAGATAGATAGATAGAT